AAAAAAAAAAAAAAAAAAAAAAAAACAATAAACAAAAGCCATGTTTAATTGAGTCATAGGAATGTGCTTGTACAGTAGCCCAAAGGATAAGACGCCCGGTGCACTGGTATCAAGCGATACGATTATGCCTTTGTTGAAATTACACTAACAAGTACATACTTCCTAAGTATATCCTAAGGAAATAAATGACTATCACGTAATTACCATTTCGACTATAAATATACCCGTAATTACTCATGAGAAGGCGTACTTCTCATGAGTAATTATGGGTATACTTATGGCGAGCCCTCCCCACATATTTTTTTAAACTGTCATGAGATCCGCTTTGAATGGTCATAAATTCGTTCCACAACGCAGTTGAGACCTCATGTCTGGTAGATTGAGAGACAATTTATGTTCCCGATGTCAGTTAGGTTCAATGAATATTTTGACAGTAGATGGGTCGCAGGCTTGCCTACCCATTTAGCGAAACAAAAATAATGCGAATGGCGAAGCAGCATGCAAAAAGGCCTTGTCACAATTAAGTAACTGCCCAATTGATGGAATAACTTAAATACTCTTGGACCAAAACTAAATATGTTTGGGATGCCACAGACCTCACGCCTCAATTCCAGCTTTGCTTATAATGACTTTCTTTTTGTTCTGACACAAATCATACTCTGTCTTTCGCCCCAACAAACCCACTAAAATTTTCAATATATATTTCTGATTCGATTTTGCCTCACATACCTCCGTTCATAGCATCAATGAGCACGTTGAAGGGCTTCCTCTGCTCCGTTCCCTGGATCAAAGCCTTGATCTTCGGGAAATCGAAGATCTCCTTCATGTACGAAACATAATCTTCCACTGCATCTATGACTTCGACTGTAAACTGCCGCTGATCTACCTGAGAGATGGAGACCAAAATTCAGTAAATGCGTTCATCCACAATGCGTTTCCAGAGGTCTTATCTGCCCTGTGACATCTGGCCTCGGCATGAACTTCACTCCACGGTATTTCTTGACATGTTTCTGTTCAATAAAGGTTTTCAGAGAGTACTCAGGAGTAGACAACGGGTTGGCTATCTCCCTCGCGGTCTGATGTCGATGGGCGACTGAAATCACTCACCAATAAGTGAGCTCTATGCTAGTCGGCTTATAAAAACAAATAAATATTAGTTTAAAAAAAATAACAAAATACACTTCTATAAAAAATCCGACTAAAAAATTGAAAATAAATTTTAATAAATATGAATTAAAAATAGTGTAAGAAAAAATGTTTTTATTGTAAAAAAGCGTGGAGTGCCTTTCAGGATATTATCAAAATAACCCTTCTACTCATATCTGTTCATAAAATATTTATAACTACTGATACCATGCACCCCACGCTTTTTTACTAAAATAATTTTTTTACACTATTTTTAATTTAAATATATTAAAAAAAACTAATTTTTAATTGGATTTTCTATAAAAGCGTATTTTGCTATTTTTTTTAAACTATTATTTATTTTTCAATTTTTTGTTAATTTCAATTTTTTCAATTCTTATTTTTTATATTAAATTGACATCGGTCCTTAATAAGTATACCAAATTTCGAGTTAATCCGACGTTTTGAAGGGGTCTCAAAAACATGTTGAAAGATTCCGTTACATACATACGTCTGAAACTAATAAAAGCGTATTAAAATAAAGGTTTCTATCATACTAACACCAACGTATGACCAGCGTAACCCGGTATTTCCAACTAAAAGTCATAAAAGTCTAGATACCTTAAAAGTATGTACGTCGATTTTGTCAATGGCGCAGTTTAAATCTGGGACAATCTTGTACTGCTTTATCGAGGTGGTGAGTTTGTAGATGGCATCGGTGGTAGCATCGGAAGCCGGGCCCCCGTTACTGCAGTTGAACTTTATGCCGAAGTCCTCGTCCGCACCGCCCGGATTGTGGGACGCCGTGAGAACTATACCACCTGTTAACGAGGTATTTTTTTTGACTACTTTTTATAATGGAACGAGCCCATGAATACCATAATGTAGATGCACCCTGAGATGATCTGCTGGTGGTAAGGCGTCTTATGGGGCCACACGGGTAGATACCACCATCCTGCCTATTCCTGCCGTAAGCGATTTAAGCATTTCAGTTAGTAGGGTCAGTCATTGTACTGTCAAACCGAGACTTAGAATCATGACTCAATATTGAGAATGGCGGTATTTTTGATGTCTATCGATTCCGGTAACCCCTCAACACTAGGACCGTGAGTTCGTCCACTCATATAATCGATAAAATGAAAAGGTTCGTCTTTCAAAGCGGCAAGTATAAGGCAGATAAAGGCAGAACAGCGGTTCCATCTCATGCTCAGAGCACGACTTGCCCAATCCACGCAACTTATTTTTATTGCTTGCGTCGGTGAGACGAGCTCACGGCCCACCTGATGTTAAGTTCTTAACGTAGCCTATACACATCTACAACGTAAATGCCGCCACCCACCTTGAGATATGAGTTCTAAGGTCTCAGTACAGTTACAACGACTACCCCACCCTTCAAACCAAAACGCATTACTGCAGTAATACGCAGTAATAAGCGGGGTGGTGGTAACTACCCGTGCGGACTCACAAGAGGTCCTACCACCAGTAAGATAATATTTTTTAGCTTTATTCTGACAAATTATATATTACACACTAGTAAAGTTTCTGTATAAAGAGAGGGTTTATCAGAATCATAGACATACTGACATAACTAATAATATTTTTTGAAAATGAATAAATTTCCAGGATTTTTTTCAGCCAACACGTTTTAGTATTATATATTTTCTAACATACTAAATTTATTAGTTGTTGCATTCTATTATCAGCTTGGTGAACTTCGATTTAGGTTCGGATTTTAGACTATGATAAATGTTTCCTTGATCAAGAGATTGTTTTTTTGCATTACGTTTTGCGTTTTTTTTAATATCAGATTCTGTTGAGTCATTGTAATAAATGCCACCTCATCATTATGTCCACATTAATTTATTATCAGTGATAACATCGTGTTCAAGTTGTTTTTCAGGTTATAACTAAAGAAAACAACGAACAGTCATGTCGTCATTCAAGTCAAGAGTTTGGGTGCACAGAAGTCGCTTTCAGAGTGGCCAGGCTTCACACTACTGGTCATTAAGGTTCTGCTCTGAGGTGGTCAAACTTCCTGGAGTCCGCATGATGCTGGATAGAACACTTCAACCTACGTGCAAGACATGCACAAAGTATCTTATGTCGAAGAAGTTCATAGATAAACTATGAATACTAAAAGTGACGTTTTAACAACAGGAGAAGAGGAAACTGCCAAAAATATGGAATGGAAGCAGAAATCCTGATCTATGAGACCCTTGAAGATCATTTGTCGGTCTCTCTAGTCTTCATATGTAAAAACAATTCTTATGAATTTATTAACAGTATTAGGAAATAGGCTACAGACATCTCAGTTCAAATTTATGAAATTAGTGTTATTAGATGTAGAAAAAAGAAAAAATTCGAAGATGTTAAGGAAAATTAAATAGTTTAATAATATTATAAAAGACTTACATAATTATCATGGTATTATTTATTAATATTATTAAACTGTCTAATTAAATGATAACTTTAATATTGCAATAAATCACTTACCAAGAGTTTTATATTTTCTAATGATATAAGACACAGCAGGAGTTGAAAGTATTCCATTTTGTCCTACTATCAATTTCGAAACCTATAACAATAAGAAATGTATAAATGGGAATTTCAGAAGCCAAAGAATATAATGGATGGATTGATAAGAACCACCATCCTACCTATTTTTTTTTTGAAGCAGTTATCTTCATGTAGATTAGCAAATATTGTAAAGTAATATTGAGGATTCATGAACAAACTTACGCCTCACACTATCAGACCTCATAGACCTCACAACCTGAATGCTGGCACCCACCGATCTTTTTTGAGAGTCATGAGATCTGAGCCCTGATTAGAATATATATTGTGTGTCCCTTGTTTCAAATTACAATGCATAACAGCTTTAGTGCTGAACTTAACAGGATTATGGTACATAGCTATGCAATAATGCATGCATTCAAATTGTGAAATCTATTGCCTCATTTACCACTTAACATACAATTAAAAACACATCTCAATTATAATGTTTTAAGGCTTTCTGTTTTGATTCTAATGAAAACTGTGATACTCAAAGACTTCAACACTATTTTAAATTTTAAAAATACACAAATGATTTCTCAATAAAAATTTAATAATTCATAATTAATAAATCAGTGTTGACTGCTGTGCAACTGGGTCCAGGAAGAATTGTTTGAGATGATACCATCATCTCGTTTTTACTATTGCACAGCCCACCACCGGAGTAGAGTTCATCCATACTACCTGAAGCCACTGCGTTCATCCACAGTGCATTTTGCCACATACCACCTGGCTTTGGAATGAGTTGCCCTCCACAGTGTTTCCTGAGCGCTATGACATGTCCTTTAAGCGATGCTTGTGGAGAGTACTAAGCAGTAGGCCTCAGCCTGGCTCTGCCTCTGGTATTGCTAAAGTCCATGGGCGACGGTATCTACTCACCATCAGGTGAGCCGTATGCTCATCTGTCTACAAGGGCAATTAAAAAAGATTTTTTTTCTGGTGCAGTGTTTGTTTGTTTCTATTTTATCCTGTATTATTTGCACAGGAGAAAATCCTTATTTATGTTAAACTTCTAATTTAATTACTTAAGTAATAATGTCAACAGTTTCAATTATTCTTGTGATTAATCAAGACGACCATACAATAATATATAAAATAAACACATTCACTATTTAATTCCTTACCCCATTCGCTGCACTGATCTTAATAATTTTATCAACAACCTCTTTCACGAGATACCTTCCGTCTCCTCCGACAACCAGGGTCGATCCTATCAAAGAGGTTTTGTTCACATCCAAAATGCATTGAATAAAATTCTCCGTGTAGTTTTCTTGAATGAAAACTTTAACTTTTTTACGCAATCCACTTGTGCCCGGCTTTTGGCCCTCATACGGTTTAGTGTCAACCGTTACACTGTTAGACATGATTCTAGTAATTAAGTAAGTATCAAGTAAAGGACACGAGTTATTTAAACGAATATCACGGCATAAATAAAGTTACATTATCATCATAACCAGGTGCTGCTATGATTAAAAACAGAATTGATAAAAACAGCTGAGACTTCACTTCAATGTCATTCAAGGTCGAAATAATGAAATTATTTCGTTCAGAAATACAGTATGTTTTAAGTCTTATTAAAAATGATTAAAATTCATACGGTTATATCTTAAAGTTACAATTAGCAATTAAACATTAACTTTTATTTGTAAAACCCTATCAGATAATTTTATTTAATACGTTTGATAATACATAGTATATTTCATGGTGCTCTCGTATATTCCTGTTGAGTCTCTTCAACCTTTTATTGTTGATGCAGCTAATTACACAACCAACTCAGGGGACGGGGCAGTGCAAAGCCACTGAAAGATGTTTCCATTTTAGGCTCTTCAAGAGGCGGGCACCGTCATCGTCGAACTAGTCGAAAGAGTTCCACGTGCAATCTAATCCATAGACACAGCCCACTGAGCTCTTCGCCGTATCTTCTCACGTCGCGACTGCGATCCGGTGGTATATTCAGCGAATTACTACTCTTGTTAGGGATAGTGTTAGCAATTCTCTCAGGTTGAGCCCGTGAGCTCAGCCACCCGTCCGCTCGTAGCTGGAACAGCCCCTTATGCAGCAATTGGGCAGAGAAAAAAGAATCTATTCAACAGTTTAAGCATGTAATTGTCATAGATATAGCAATTCACGCCATAGATAATACACATAAATTAATTCACGCTTCTATTCGTCGACCTTGTACATGAAATTGCTGATGCAGCTACGCTACAACTCAATTTTCACAAAAAAAGAAATCGTAGTAACCCAAAAAAATTAAAAGAAATTAATTTGAAAAAAATTTTATTCCTCAAAAACACATTCACCAACAAAAATATTACAACTTAAATTAGACAATAGTAAAATCATTCCCCAGCATCTCAAATTATTATTATTTTGATTTACAGGCCATCACAGATCCGCCGAATTCTTTTTCTAAATATCTTGCTACCGTCAGGCAAAGACCGTCATTGTTTGGTGCAGCCAACACTTGAATCCCAAGCGGCAATCCTTGGCTGTCTTTTCCTAAGGGTACCTGGAATAGAAATCTTTTATATTTCGTCCTTTTGACTATATCGATATTGCCAATGTATGAATATATTCCCTATTAACATTATATAGAAAAGCAACAGCTAGCTTTTTTTCTTCTTTCAATTATATTTTTTACGTAAATAGACGAACGAGTTTGTGCGCCACTTGCTGTCGTGGTTATTAATGTCCATAGATATCATGATGTAGATTCCGCCACTATCTAGAGACATGTGCCACCATTCAAAGTGAAACGCATGATCTTCGGGCAGAACATTTTTTTTTTATTGCTTAGATGTGTGGACGAGCTCACAGCCCACCTGGTGTTAAGTGGTTACTGGAGCTCATAGACATCTATAACGTAAATGCCCACCCACCTTGAGATATAAGTTCTAAGATGTCAGTATAGTTACAACGGCTGCCCCACCCTTCAAACCGAAACGCGTTACTGCTTCACGGCAGAAATAGGCGGAGTGGTGGTACTTACCCGTGCGGACTCACAAGAGGTCCTACCGCCAGTAAGATGGTAAGATGGCGGTACCTACCTGAATTGAACTTGCAAAATATCCTACAATAACTAAATAGCGGCTGGCGATCGCTGTGCGGGGCTCGGTAAACCAGCCAGACCTATTCCTCTATACGGGCTGGCCAAACATTGCCCAAACAGAATTCGAAACTTTATGTAAAAACTGGAATACTTTGTCCAAACTGATTTTGAGCCCTGGGCGTTGCGCAATTGGGGCTGGACAAATATTTAGCCATCAAACATCGACCTTTGGATTATGTTGTATAAAAGCTGGACCAATATCGTCCAACCACGATATGGTTATAACCTTAAAGTTTAATTATCTCTAACCTGAGTAGCGGGACACTTCAGTGCGTTGACTACGGCGAAATAGGCGAAGTTGAAAGGGCGGAGCAGACAAGAGTAGTGGTAGGGCGCCACGTGCGGAGCGCTCGGCATGAGAAGGACGCCATTTTCGCCAAGCTTAGTCTAAATATTACAAAACATTTATTTTTTTATTGAATTCGATTTTCCTTCGTTTTTGTGAGATAGAGCTTATGGCGAAAGACTACTGTTTTGATTTATATTTATCCACCAATAAATACTATTCAACGCTCACACTTGAACCTTTGTGTTTAGTGCGAGCTATTTAACTGTCTCGATAGCGTAAAAGTGAACTCAAATTTGTATGGAGTTGGAACGTTTGCCTACGTTTACCGCTAGGAGCGCTGTTCCAACTGCAAACAAATTTGAGCTAAACTTTTACGCTATCGATAACGTTAAATAACTCACACTAAGCATACCTACTACTTGTTTATGAATCGTATTTTTTGTATCTTATCTATTAGATATATCTGTTACGTGAGCACCCCTGAACACGTTTAGTATTTCGTATGTACTATAATTACTTTCAGAAATTCTGAAAACGAATGATACATGATTAAATCCGCAATATTTTTTCAAGAATGTGGTCGACTGATATTATATGTATTTCAAACGGAAATAATGTAACGTGTGCCCGACCCAAGAATCAGACTTACAAATAGATCATCCTTGAATTCTTTTGTGAGTTTCTCAGCCCAGGCGGAGTCGACAGCAGGAAGAAACTGCAACTCTATCAGACGAACCACGCTGAAGAGACAATGCTTGCTGAGGCCACACACCTATAATACAATAAATTTCAGATATATAATAATAATCGTAATAATAATAATTGCATTGATTTACTCTACCGTACAAATACAAATAAATTTTCAATTAATCTATATCTATACTAGCTGACCCGGCAAACGTTGTTTTGCCATATAAAAGATTTCTAGGGAATTTCTAGTGTAGAAAAAAAAGTAACTTATTGTAAGTGTATAAGGATGTGGTAAATGAGTGAAAGAGGCATGTAGCGAACTATGAGGGAATATAAAAATAACAAAACCTCATTCAACCACATACCTAGATAATGCCTCATTATAACAAAAAAAATATGTCCAAAAATAAAAATAAATGTTAGGGGTGGACAACCCTTATCACTTAGGGGTATGAAAAATATATAGTAGCCGATTCTCAGACCTACTGAACACGCATATAAAATTTCTTAAAAATTGGTCAAACCGTTTCAGAGGAGTATAGTAACTAACATTGTGACATGAGAATTTTATATATAAGATTGTAAATAAATAATTATTGCACTGGAAATTAATGATAATTTTACGATGACAGTAAAATTAACATGAGAGTTACACAGAAAAATTAAAATAATAGGTATAACAGTCACAGTTACGATTGATACACAAATAAAACCAAAAAAACATGGCTTAAAAATGTATAGTGAGTAAGACAGGAGACCGGCTTCGTCCTCACCCCTACTACGTGATGTTTGCTGGATGAGTGGTGACACCTGGCGGGTATAGCTGATCGATTGATAGTTGGTCAGTAGTCGACCGACGAGGGCGGGAGATCAAATTGAATTGAAAAAAATCATAATTAAAGGAACATGAAATTATAAACTCTGAATAAGAATTTATCGTACTACAATTATAGTATTTGATTGCCATCTTGCAACCTTATTGCGGATCTGTGCATAGAATAAAAAAAATAAAAATCGGGATGAAAAAATAGGGGTTGATCATAGAGGGATGAAAAATTGAGAGTAACATCAGATTTTTTATTTTAATTCATGACAAAATAATAATAAAAATGAAAATCTTGCCAAAAAATTAAAGTTTATAATTAATAAATAGGGGTTGATCGTCTGTCCGGAATTGACTTTTCAGTAACCATCGCATATAAATAAATAAATACTAACAATCACGCCACGTTAACTGGTACCGTGCTAAGTTCGTAAAGAACGTGTGTTACAGGTACCAGATAACGGAAATAAATATAAGATTTTTATTATACACATACATACATTTAATATACATCCATAACCCTGGCGAAGACATTTTATATTTATCATACAAATATCTTTCCTTGGCGGGATTCGAACCCGCGACGCCCTTGTGTAGTGACCATGTCACTTACCACTACACCAGATGGCAATTGAGAACAGCAACGGTTAGCACAGCAACGTCGTGTTGTTTAAGAATGGTACTTTATTGACCAGGAGCGACAGGTACCTTTTTAATTAGCTCCAGAATACCATTAGCCTCGGTCGTGTTGTTGGTGTAGAGCAGTGCCGTATTGTCGGGTTCCTTTGTCATCCAGTACTTCCAGAGTACGTACATGTGGTTGAAGCCCTCGTGGTGGTACGGCTGTGGGGCATCCGCTGTCGTCAGCTCTTGAGTTATTTTGGATATCGCTCTGAAGTATATTAACAATGGAATTATTGAAATAGTTATTCTAGTGGTGGTAGTATGTCTTATGAGTACGCGCAGGTAGGTACCACACCCCGCCTGCTTCAGCCGTGAAGCAGTAATGCGTTTCGGTTTGAAGGGTGGGGCAGCCGTTGTAACTATACTTGAGACCTTAGAACTTATATATCTCAAGATGGGTGGCAATTTACATTGTAGATGTCTATGGGCTCCGGTAATAATTAACACCAGGTGGGCTGTGAGGTCGTCTACTCATCTATGCAATAAATAAATAAAAAATGTAAGTTTGATTCTTGGGTCAGGCACACGTTATTTCCGTTTGAAATACATACAATGTCAGAAAACCACATTCTTGAAAAATAAATTCGGATTTAATCATGTTTCATTCGTTTACAGCAACCATTGTATTACTACGACTTAGACCTTAAAACTCGTCTCTTTTTTTTCTTTTTTTTCCTACCTAAGTTCCTCCTAAGGACCCTCCCGATCTGCTGCGGTGCTCTAAGGTACCTCAAGCACCGGTCATCGTTCTCGTCGAACCCGTCGCTTGCGACGAAGGGCTCGACGAGTAAACTAACCCACAGACACAGCCCACTGAGTTTCTCGCCGGATCTTCTCAGTGGATCTCGTTTCCGATCCGGTAGTAGATTCTGCGAAGCACTGTTCTGGCTAGGGTTAGCGTTAGCAGCGTCGCCAGGTTTCAGCCCCGTGAGCTCGCCTACTTATAAGGCTATCAGCTTAGGTAGAAAAATAAATTTTGGTAATATAGAATTAGGGTTGTGAAACTGATAGATAAGATACATTCACACTCACCTTTTCATCGCACCCTTGAGTTCAGCCCTAACAGAACTCACGCACACATCGTTACTAGACTCTAAATAATAAAATTTTATATTCTTAATATCAACGTCTTTATCAAGATTCAGTTCTTTCGCTTTGTCTCCGGCAACGATCTTGGTCAACGGAGCTAAATCCTCCACGTGTTTAGCTATAAAGCCCAGAGAAAACATTGATTCTTCGTCGCCATTACGGACCTGGAAATAGTTTGGCCGCTTAATGTTCAAATACTTTTATATTTAATTCCATTCAAAAGCCTTATTAAGTACTAATATATACAAATAAATAAAATTGGAATGTCTGTTTGTAATATTGAAATAACCGCTTTTTACTACATGCGTATGAATGTATATAGGTACGGTACAAGATAAAAAAAATACAATAGTTGTCTGACCGTCTGTTTGTTCCGGCTAATCTCTGGAACGAATTGGAACTCACTGGAATTTCACTGGCAGATAGCTGATGCAATAAGCAGTAACTTAGGCTACTTATATTCTAATAATATTCTAAAACTAGCTGTACCCGTCCGCTTCGCTGGGCATTTAAAATTGACATTATTATTTCTCACCCCCACAAAGATTCTCATCATTAACGCCCCCGCAACTGGTGTAGGGAGTCCAACACTCATATAAATATTAGCCTATCCATTAAGTAGGTACATGTATTTTCTACCTGGATACCAAGTTTCAAGTCAATCGGATGCATGGTTCAGTAGTTATAACGGAACATCCGTAAAAATACACTGGAGATTTATATATAAACTAAAGTAATATTTTGTTAAATTCCATGCGGACCAAGTCGCACGCACAGCTAGGGCTAATTTAATGAAGCTGATATTAAAAAGTGGTCGAAAATAAAAGCAATGGTAGGGACCTCGTAAGTTAGTGCTGCCCGGTGTCGGGTGGTGCCCGAACATGCCGCAGTAAAATGCCGGCATCCGAGTCGATCCGCCCAAATCTGAACCTGTAATCATCAGAGCTCTCATCGTTTTAAGTTCTACGTAAATTACCACAGAGCACTGACTTTTATTTATTTATTGCTTAGATGGATGGACGAGCTCACGGCCCACTTGGTGTTCAGTGGTTACCGGAGCCCATAGACATCTATAACGTCAATGCCGCCACCCACTTTCAGATACGAGTTCTAAAGTCTCAAGTATAGTTACAACGGCTGCCCCACCCTTCAAACCGAAACGCATTACTGCTTCACGGCAGCAAGAGGCCGGGTGGTGGTACCCACCCGCGCGGACTCACAAGACTTCTCATAGCTTGGTACTAATGTAATTTCTGGTTGTCACGCTTTTTACTGCAAATCAATCATGTAATCTGCCACCAAGAGTAGGATATCTGAGACAAATTACATAATTGGATTCGCGGTCTATTCTGATCGCTTATTGATCCAATGGTCTGTAACTCTATATATATGTGCCACATATTTGGATTCGATTCTTCTTCAAATTTCGTTTTGAGGTCTGGGTGTAATTGGGTCCGTTTCATATATTTTTGTTTTTGGCGCCCATTAATGAAAATGGCTGGGCCGTTAAAGAGGACCATTTTTTTCAATCTATTACCTACCCCATAAGCGCTTACAAGCTTTATATCATCAGCCTATAGCAGTTCAATGCTATAGGCCTCTCCAATTGCTCCAAACAGCGGTGTTTCCCGAGTGCTACGAGATATCCTTCTTCAAACTAGGCTTGTGGAAAGTGCTTACAGTAGGCAGAGGCTTGACTCTGTCCCTCGCATTGCTGAAGTCCATGGGCGACAGTAACCCCTCATCAGGTGGGCCGTATGATCGTCTGCCTACAAGAGCAATAAAAAAACAAAAAAAAACCCCTGCCAGCTTTGCCTAGTTTTGCCGAGCTTTAACCTTAAGAAAAATAAAGAAATAAACTAGAATTCTCACATAAACTAATGGTGGTAGCGTAGCTGGCGGTGAGGGCTGCTTCAGCGCCGCTAGAACCTCCCGGAGACCGGCCGGTGTGATGCGGGTTATTTGTCATTCCATACACCAAGTTACGGGTCTCCTGCCTAAAAAATTATTATTGTCTGTGGGAAGATATATCACAAAGGGAGATCTTCCACCGAGCACGTGATAGTGCTCGGTAGACCGACAGTCCTAATGTTATTGTTCGGAACTTGTATTTAAGCAAGCTTATCTTGAAAATGTCGTAAGCGAGATTCAGGCATCTGTCGTTCTTGGGCAAGAGAAGACAGGATCATTTTAGACAAGCCGTTGCCTACTACTAAGAACTCCCCTAAAACCTCATTTGAAGAAGGATATATCACAGCACTCGGGAAATATCGGGATGGTTTGTGGCAAAAAAGATGTCTGGTAGCATACTGTGGATATATGTAGCCGTTTCAGATAGTATGGATGAACTCACTCTCCTCACTACACTCACACCTCAACTCACTAACTACCCCATTAAATTAATTTAAAGATTACTTAGTAAATAAATTTTTGCTCACCAAACTAATAATTCGGGCAGATTCGAAGACCCGATAGGTATAGCTCCAGCGTTTTTCAGTCTGATTATGGCTTCGCTATCCTCAGAAGCGACTTCTTTACGTCTGGACCACAGACCCATCGTAAGGGGCATACCTTTGATAGCTTGACTCTCCTTAGTCGTAAATGGAACTCCTATTTTAAAAGGTATTTTAGAGATTAGGATCAAAAACTCTGGTGGTACACTTTGATTCAAGGTATATTCTGAAGAAATAACTCTATTGATATTAAATACCGATTTGCAAAGTAGCAACCTCAAACGTCTTATAAATATGAAACGATTTTGGACCGTTCTTATTATATTAGGGCCAATTTCGGTGAAAATCTTGTGTAATCTTAACAATTACACTGCACGGTGTGATCAAACATAGCTCCATCTCATCTCTTCGTATGGGTATGGTAAAGGTCGACTATAATACTGCCAGTGAATAGGCACCAACGTTCTATGAGTATTGTACCAAGGTACTATAATTTGTAAGGCGTTTACTGGTGATGGTATTATGGACGGCCCTGTTTTATGTCCCGAACTGTATTCCAGTTTGAAAGGTGAGATAACTATTGCATACAATTGAAACTTCGTGTCCCAGGGTGAGCGGCAAAATTCACGTTGCGATTTCAATCGGCTTCTGTGACCATTTTATACCCTGGATCGTAAGGTCGTTTAACCTAAAAATTCCCACCGGTTTCCGTGTAGAGAATTAAAGTCAAACTACCAATACAAGCCATTAATAATAACTCTTATACAGAACGTAAAATTAAAATGGAGTAAGCATAGATAAGAATCTTCGTAAAGAAAGAAACAAGAAATTTGAAATAAGCTCAATAAAGTAAAATCCAAATTCGATAGTAGGTATCAAAGTAGTTGTAGACACTAAGATTATTTACCAAGAAATGGTTTTTTCTGCCATTCTTGTTCAGAAAGTCCAACGGCGACAAGCCTATCCACTTCCCTGGCTTCGGTGAGAGCCGCTTCATACCGATCTGCAGCAATAGCGTTGATAATTGGATTTACCTGAAAAATCCAATTTCATCAATCATTATAAAAGTTCAAGTCATAAAGTCAAGGGATAACTTGGGCAACGATGGACTTTAATTATAAATGTATCTAATTGTTAGCGCTAACAAGACCAGTGTTTCTCTGAATCTACCATCAGCTCGGAACCGTGGCCCACTGTGAAGATCCTCTGTGAGAAATTCTGGGCTGGATTAGGTTGTACATCTAAAACTTCGTAGCTTTGACCTATGGGCCTTAGCGGTATGTGGGAGTCAATTGGATAACCAACTTCTCTTTCGCCATTCCACCAAAGCATCTGATTCTCATACCGAAACAAAGCTCAGAAATGGGACTAGAGGCGGGTTTCGTCAACTTGCACAATTAAATGCAATGTCTTTGCGCTTGGGGCATAGCGCTGCCAATTTCGTGTACCATGAAAACTGTCACCTGTCGGTCATCTACTGGTATACAGGTGGTGGTGGAAATACAGGTTTTTAACCGTTTACTACTTAGAAACAGCACAAGTGTGGAGAGTTAGAAAAAAACTCCTTCCTTCGACTTGGCATTTCCAAAAAGTCCAAAAAGTCTCCGTGTTGATGATTGTTAAAAATTATTGAATAACTAAGACAGGCTAAATGATCGAGTAATTAATGGCTGTAAACAAATATAAAAACACAATAGCCCCAAAAAACAGAATATTTGTAAATACCCAATAAAAGGCTTAAAAAAACTTAACGAATTCCGAAATTCAGCTTACATGTGAGTCGTCTATTATCAAAGGTGGCAATCTGTGCATTTGGACAAAAAAATGTTAATGATATGTCAATACAGATTGATTTGAATATAATCGTCTCCTTCAAAGAATACGGTTCAAAACCTGCATTAAATAAAGGTTTATACTTAACCTGTAATTTATCTAAGATGTCGTTCAGAAGAGTTTTGTGACTGCCAATGGAATACAAAGTCAATATTCGTTTTTCTGATTTACCAATAATTGTCCAAAAGTCACATTGCCGGCTTTGATAATAGTCGACTCATGTTTAAGATATAAAAACAATACATAGGTAGGTGTTGTATATTGTCTATGTTTGAGAATATTAAGACGCTCCGTTTTTTGTATTTTTTTGTATTTGAATTTTTATGATGTTTTAACATTGTTTTGTTTTGGCAGTGACGGAAAACTAAAAAAATCCAATTCACCTCTTTAATCCTCTCAACAACAGCCCGTACCAGGTCTTCAGACTTCAACTCCTTATTCCTGATCTTCTTAGCCAGAGCTGTGGCACTTTCTTTGAGGATCGCATGCTTGCTATCTAAGTCTGGGATTGGTTTCTTTCGCTTGTCCCAGCACAGCGAGAAGAAAAAGTCGATAGCGAAATCCAACAACAGCCTCGCGTAGAGTATGAATATTTTTAGTTTTTTACCCATGTTCACCTGAAGAATTAATTTTTTTAAGATCTAAATAAGACGTTTGACAGTGATCTATAGAAATTTGGATGAATATTTGTTTGAGGTATTTCGAACATTACAAAAGACTCTTGAGCATAAAATTATAGGTTTTTAAGATTTAAAACGGAAATTATTAAGAGAATCGGTCCCAAGTGACAATTTAGTTTTTCTAGAAGTAATTTACGCATTTTGAAGTGCGTCCATAAGTTCTTGTTGTATAAGCAATGCTTTCATCGTTAAAAAATAATCGTAAACTAATTAAAAACAATTTAGTTCTAAGTAAATGTTTAACAACAATAATAATAATTGGGAACAGCTCACGCACGGTCATCCGACTCCAATTTAAGATTCCCTGTGTTATGTTTACCAGTGACTGACAAACACACTCATATATGTTTAAATATTTACATAATAATATATCGATAATAAATACTCAGTTAGAGAGCAAACAAACCTGTGTGCTTAGTGCGAGTTTTTTAACGTTCTCGATAGCGTAAAAGTTAGCTCATATTTGTATGGAATGGGATCGTTTGCCTACGTAGCTCCGGTGGTAGATCCTGCGAAGCACGGCTCTTGCTAGGGTTCGTGTTAGCAACGTCGTCAGGTTTGAGCCCCGTGAGCTCACCTACTAGTTAAGGCGACGCTGATATAGCCTCTCAAGGCTATCAGCTTAGGTAGGAAAAAAAAAGCCTACCGTTAGGGGCGCTGCTCAAACTGCATACAAAATTGGGTTACCTTTTACGCTATCAAGAACGCGAATAAACTCTGTACACTGTTCGTCACACAATGTTGGCCCGATTTGGGAATGGGACTCACCACCCTCGGCGCAACAGTCAAGGGGCGTTAACTATTACACCACTGAGTCAGTCAATCGAGTGTTTGTGTCAACAAATTGACGACTTTTGAGCAATTTTTGCGCAACACCCATAACGTCATAACGAACGTCTAGCAACTGACTCGCAACAACACACAGTCGCTACATTCTGTTAGCTAATCAAGAATTGCAATAAAATACCTGACCGTTACATAATACGTGTATCTAATGCAATGAACCCAGAAATATGCTTCGGTTTTGAGTTGCATGTTGTGCATTTTTTTCCCATAATCAGTTAAACGCGGTCTTGCACCTTAGACTACCGGAAACCCTGATCAAATCACAACTTAAATACCACTGCCCGTCTTAAGAGATCAGGTGTCTGATCCTCTATAGTATTACATAACTACTGCCATTCAAACCAGATTGCATTACTGCTTCGCGACAGGAATTGACAGAGGGGTGCCATCTAAACAAGAGCTCTAAAAAGACTCCCTAACATCAGTATTTACGCAGAGTATATAATTCTTAAAACCTGATTTTAATTACGCGATACGACCTCTTCATCGTGGAAAATCGTTTGTGAATATGTATGAGCAGCATAGTTCATTAAAAAAATTGTATCTACTTGCAGGATTTGAACACGGACATATAGCCGTTTCGCTCGATACGAGTACTTCAACCGTGTTATCCTTTAGGCTATGACGATTGTATTCTCATTAAATTCTTTGTTTATCTAGAAATTTGGCCCACTGAGTTTCTCGTCGGATCTTCTCAGTGGGTCGCGTTTCCGACCCGGTGGTAGATTCTGCGAAGCAATGCTCTTGCTAGGGCCAGTGTTAGCAACACTCCGGTTTGAGCCCCGTGAGCTCACCTACACGTTAGGGCGAAGCTGATATGGCCTCTCAAAGCTATCAGCATAGGTAGGAACAAAAAAAAAAGAGAAGTTTGTTCGAGTAATTAAATAAGGTTAGGTGAAATAATTAGTGTCACCCAAAGGTAACTAAACAATGAATAACTGCATGAATCCGAGTATGCATAATTTTATTTGGTTTATAAAGTCCAGACGAAGCTGTCAAGCGTTTTACTGATAGGCGATGCTACGCTTCAAACCAAACCACAGGTTTTATTCGCGACACAAATAGGCGAAAGATGGTAGTAGAGACCTATGCTTTTTTCCTGCTTTTTTTTCTTCTTTTTTATTGCTTAGATGGATGGACGATCTCACAGTCCACCTAGTGTTAAGTGGTTACTGGAGCCCATAGACACCTACAACGTTAATGCGCCACATACCTTGAGATATAAGTTCACGGCAGAACTAGGCAGGGTGATGGTACCTACCCGCGCGAACTCACAAGAGGTCCTACCACCAGTAATAATTGCTGGTAGCTGTTTGGTAAAGCTGGACTTGCAGCCTATCGATCATATCCCGTATGTACCTATATCACCAACACCAGATAAGTTAAAACACTCAGAACCTCATCAATATGAGCGCCTTTCAATTCATCTTGAACCGCGGAAGCATTTTTGAAATAGATTATTCAAATAGAAAAAATGTGTGTTGTAATGTATATTTAGTTGTCATGCAAATTTACTTTGGCGATAAACTACATATGAGAGTTATACGATAAACTACAGATGATACCGGCATCTCGTTTTTACCATCGCGCCGCCCGCCACCGGAGTAGAGTTCATCCATAGAGAAGAAGAGAGATCTTTTTTGCCACGTACCATCCGGCTATGGAATGAGCTCCCCTCCACGGTGTTTCCCGAGCGCTATGACATGTCCTTCTTTAAACGAGGCTTGCGGGGAGTATTAGGCGGTAGGCAGCGGCTTGGCTCTGCCCTTGGCATTGCTGAAGTCCATGGGCGACGGTAACCACTCACCATCAGGTGGGCCGTATGCTCGTCTGCCTACAAGGACAATAAAAAAAAACATATGTGCAGCTTAAAAGAAAATCACCTTTAATAAAATCGAACTAAATTATACAAAACTTCGAAATGTCGTAAACAAAATACAATGGCAGAACCAGACAAGGACATAGCGACAAAAACTACACCGGCTTAAATAATAAATGTTTTAATACAATTCATTATTACGAAACAGTTTTTTCGACGACGTTAGCCTTATTCACATAAATAAGTATTACATAATACTTAAGTAAATTGTGTAGCTAAGCAGAATTGAAAATTCATTACGTTTCAATATTTATTCAGTTGACGTTATTAATAGGTATTTTATACTTACTTTTCAAAATATTGCTATCGTTCGTATCTTATTTTAACACAAAACAAAAAACTTTGTGCAAATTAGTCAATGTTCGATTTTATTTTTACGGTGAAATGTAGTACCGGATATTCTCAACTGCCCATTCAATTATTGTTTAGTTTTAATAAAGTAGACAACTTACTTAATAATAATAATATGTTGATTGTTAGGTTAATTACGGTTACAACACAAAGAAATAACTTCACACAATCGTGTTGTGTGTTGCATCAAAAAACACCGACTGGACTCACACTTTGAAATTCGAACATAGAGACCGGTTCTTCGCTCGCGTAAAGCTTTGGAACTATTATAATACATAATTGGTTTTTTTAATCATTTAATTTAGTTCAATTAAGGATTTTTATATTCAGGAAAAACTTGTGCAACACTTTGTAGGTCAATACAAAAGATATTAGTTTCCTTTTTTGGATCAGGAATATATTGACGGTCTTCCGTCTACGTGTTGCGGGTCAGAGCTGAACCAACTAAAATCCCCAGTCGCTAAACAAACCGCGTCTGAACCTTGAGTGATTCTGAACTCATCCAAAGCAGACTAAAGGTTCTCGCATAGTGGTATACGGTTTTATGTTGATAAATATATCGCGATTTTCAATTATTATACCTAGTCAGGTCATAAGTATTGTCATACAGTAAAAACTTTTCTTTTAGAATGCTGGCCACAAAAAAGACTATTGAACCCGAATTTCGAATTGTTCATGAAAATAAAAATAGTATACATTTAGAATTTTACTCATTTTTAAATATGGAGTGGACGCATAAAGAAGACCGTGTTGCACACAGAACACTATTACTTCTAGCGAAGGTGTTGCAGTTATTGCGTTGCATCGTTGCGGTTACGCGCCAATTCAAATTTTTAACATACTGAAAAAATTTGAATATAACCAAAAGATTCGTTTATCGTACCATCAAACGATACAATGAAGACTCTAGTGTAGATGACAGGTCAAGAAGTGGTCGCCCTCGGTCTGTTAGGATTCCAGCAGTGATAAAAGCTGTGAAGGCGCGAATTCAAAGAAATCCCAAACGTAAGCAGAAACTGTTGGCCCTTCAGATAGGGTTAAGCAGAACCACGGTGAAAAGGATGTTAAATGAAGACTTAGGGCTTCGGGCATATCGAAGAAAAACAGGAAATCGTTTGAATGCTCGTCTAATGGACCTGAGACTGAAGAGATGCCGCGCTTTGTTGAAGCGGTACGCGGGAAAAAAATATCGGGAAATTCTTTTTTCGGATGAAAAAATTTTTACCGTAGAAGAAAGCTACAACAAAAAAATTTATAAGGTGTACGCACACAGTAATGAAGAAGCGGGCAACCGTATTCCGCGTGTCCAACGAGGTCATTTTCCATCCTCGCTCATGGTATGGTTGGGAGTTTCTTATTGGGGCTTAACAGAGGTACATTTTTGTGAGAAAGGTGTAAAAACGAATGCAGTTGTGTATCAAAATACAGTCCTGACGAACCTTGTGGTACCTGTTTCTCATACCATGTTCAATAACAGGCACTGGGTATTCCAACAAGATTCGGCGCCAGCTCATAGAGCGAAGAGCACACAAGACTGGCTGGCGGCGCGTGAAATCGACTTCATCCGGCACGAAGACTGGCCCTCCTCCAGTCCAGATTTGAATCCGTTAGATTACAAGATATGGCAACACTTGGAGGAAAAGGCGTGCTCAAAGCCTCATCCCAATTTGGAGTCACTCAAGACATCCTTGATTAAGGCAGCCGCCGATATTGACATGGACCTCGTTCGTGCTGCAATAGACGACTGGCCGCGCAGATTGAAGGCCTGTATTCAAAATCACGGAGGTCATTTTAAATAAACTTTAGTGTCATAAGAATCTATGTTTTATTAAGTTCATTTTGGTATATGAATGGTTACATAATGAATAAACTTGTTTCAATTATTTTACATTAAACATGTGACAGAATTTATGACCTGACTATGTATAATAGCAAGCCGTACTCGACGGCTTCGCTGGGCATTTAAAATTAATATTATTATTTATTGTCGTTATTATTAGGGAGTCCAACACTCATATAAATATTAGCCTATCCATTAAGTACATGTATTTTCTACATGGATACCAAGTTTCAAGTCAATGGGATGCATGGTTCAGTAGGTATCCGTAAAAAGCACTGTAGATCTAAACAGTAGTATAGTTTTTTTTTTATTGCTTAGATCGGGCTCACAGCCCACCTGGTGTTCAGTAGTTACTGGAGCCCATAGACATCTACAACGTAAATGCGCCACTCACCTTGGGATATAAGTTCTAAGATCTCAGGTATAGTTACAACGGCTGCCCCACCCTTCAAACCGAAACGCATTACTGCTTCATGGCAGAAATAGGCAGGGGACCAGTACAAAATAGTATAATAGAAAATATGTTCAAATCTATCCTTAATTTAAAAATAGTAATTATAAAAAGTGACTAAAATTCACTCCTTCGATTTTTTATAGCGTTTGTAACGAGTACATAGTCCATGGTGGTTAGTAGTCGTCGCTCGTGGATATCGGCAATGACAGGGGCACAGCCAAGTCGCTGCGGCTGCAAGGGGGAATCCTTTTTTAAATCCTAAGACAGGTGGACGAGCTCACGGCCCACGTAATGTTCAGTATTAGTGGAATCCATACATATCTACAACATAAATACTGCCACCCACCTTGAGACATGAGTTCTAAGGTCTTAGTTTTATCAGTACAATAGCTGCCCCACCCTTCATACCGAAGCGCATTCCTGCATCACGGCAGAAACAGCTAAAGATTTTTTTACCTACCCGTGCGGACTCATAAGACGTCGTACTACCTGTAATTACGCAAATTATAATTTTGCGGGTTTGATTTTTATTACACGAGAAAATTTGCTATCACGGGCCCTAGTAAGAGGAGTGCTTCGTTGAATGAGTCGTCGTGGCCTAAAGGATAAGACATCCGGTGCATTCGTATCTAGCGATGCACCGGTGTTCGCATCCCGCATTCAGTTGCCAATTTTTCTAATGAAATATGTACTTAACAAATGTTCACGATTGACTTCCACGGTGAAAGAATAACATCGTGTAGTCATAATCAAACCCGCAAATTTATAATTTGCGTAATTACTGGTGGTAAAACCTCTTGTGAGTGCGCACGGTAGGTACCACCACCATGCCTATTTCTGCCGTGAAGCAGTAATGCGTTTCGGTTTGAAAGGTAGGGCAGCTGTTGTAACTATACTGAGACCTTAGAATCTCAAGGTAGGTGGTGGCATTTACGTTGTAGACGTCTATGGGCTCCAGTGACCAGTTAACACCGCGTGAGCTATGAGTTCATCCACCCATCATAATATTAAAAAATAAAAATAAAAAGAATTGGCTTAAAGGTCTTGTTACCAGGCCATAAAGTCTTTAAAAAAATTTAAAATAAATATAAGGAAAATTCAATGACATCGTAATTCGTAAGTACCGGTAAAATGGGGCGATTAGGGATTGAAAGGCGAATCGGGAAAAAACCGGGAAAATCTTTCGACGCTCAATATAAGTTTTATATTCGTTGCAAAATCTTCAATATTTTTGTAGTTTAATAGTAGAATGTTGAAAGTTCACAAAACAACTCTGAATATGCATGATAATAGCTGCTAACTTATAAAAAATCGCGTTTCAAATTAACTTCCTGTGGTGGTAATTATTTTAGTGCTAGAAACTTTGCTCTTTTTTATTTATTTGATAATAATAGAAGACGACTATGATTTATAAACGTTATTTAGTGTTTGAACCAGCATATATATTAAAGGTAAGTCTCAGTTGTTATTGGTTTTAATGTATTTGATTAAATAAAAATACATGTAAAAATCTGTTGTTTTTGGGGACATTGGGGACGTCTTAGGTACAAATAACAACGAAAAAGGGGTCAATTGGGATGAGAATACGTGAAATGGAAACGACCTAAGTATAAATAGGTACAGGTTTGTAGGGTTGTCTATGTAGTTATAACAATATTTTTTAAATTTGTTGGTAAAATCTGGTTTATCGAAGCGAAATTGGGAATAAGTCTTTAGTTGAAATAGATAAGCAATCTAATATAAGTAAGTCGATTTTGCAGAGACATGTAACAAGATCAATGAAATCTCAAGGTGGACAAAAATGTCTAAGTAATAAATACATAATAAAATATTTAATATTTGTTCAGAGTGGGGGTATTCATCTGATTAATCCATGGAATAACCGACACACCTAATCTCTTAACCCAGATAGAAATATCAGCCCCTAAGTACTTACCAAGAACGGAGAAATATGAACCGTTTCTAAGAAAGCCCACTATATATGTGTAAATATATATACATATATATATATTTTGTTGTTACTGCACTGTCGATTGCACCTACAATTGAGGTGATGTCTGCCATGTACTTTTGTCAGTTTTTCAATTTTTTTTATTGATGATCACTTTGTTGGTGCAACTAAATAAATAAATAAATTAAAACTATATATAAAAATAAAAGTAGTGCCAACCCTAGCAAATTTCTCATTTCGTCCCAATTAACCGCAATTTTTGGGTAAATAGGGATTACACCTATTTTTGCATTTTTTGCTTAAACTGGAATACTAGTTGCATAATTTTAAATTAGACAACAAAGATGCCCCCAAGACTCAATCATTTTGATCCTGATGTAGCATTATATACATCAACAACTACCTTAAAATTGCTCATAAAGTTGGAATTTGTCCCTAATCGCCCCATTTTACGGTACCGTATGTATGTACCTACTTAAGAATGAGTAAAAAACAAGAAAAATTTATGAAAAACACATTGAATTATGTAACTTAAAAACAGTAATGATGCGTACTCTTTTCCCTTTTCTCCAAATAATTAGTAAACTATTTATCTATAATAGGAATATCTCCTTTTGCAACAAGTTTAAATAACAATTGGTATAGTATAAAAGACTGCAATTATAATTAAATGTAATCATTAAATTCTCTTCTCTTCACAAGTAATCAAAATCATGTTATTTTCTTTTGCTTGTATCATTATTTCCTGCAGTACGAATACACTTGACGCGAATTTCCCACTCGATATCACAGCATTAGAAAGTTCAAAGTATGTATCTCATAACTTTCACAGGAATCCGCGGCCTCTGATTAGTGGTCGCGTAGAACATTGATCCATGTCCGTGTAATTAAGCAACACTACTTAGAGCAGTTTACCTTTTGCCGGTCATTCGACATACACAACATTCGTAATTATAATATAGCCGGCTTTTAAAACAATGTGCACAACAAACCACGGCGACGGAAGAATTTCGCATTCTGTGGTGAGTTTATCGTTGTTGATAAAGTTAGATTTTTATCTGTAAACCGAGTTTTTCTATTATTCTTCGGAAATATGTAAACATAAAGTATTTTTCTTCAGTGTTTACGATTCGGAAACATACCTAATTAAAATTACTCCTAAGGGCTTAATCTAACATTTTCATTGTCTAGTATATTCGATGTTTCGACTTCTTTTGTTTTCGTGGTCACAACTAAGTTTAGCACGAAAACGTATAAAACTAACTTTTCAATACAAAAGTGATTAAGTAGGTAATGAAAATTTTCATGCACACGTTACATACAAGTAATCCAATTTTTTTTAAGTTCAATGCAATCAAATTATTTCAATATATTAATTAATTTACACAGATTATATATTTAAATCTTGAGTACTTTTAAGTATCGTAGGCTAGCATTTTCAGGGTGCTTGAAACAGATCCCTCTTAAAGTAGTTACCATCACTAAACACTAGGCGATAGAGATAATAAGACAGTTTAAAAAGTATGTATATCAATACACTCAAAAGCCAATAGTAATTAATTAATTGACATACTTAAGTTTCAAAAGAACAATGCCAAACTTAACATTTTATGTAAATTAACAACCAATACTTGTCTAAGTTTATATAACAGACCACTTGTCTAAATTTCATATATTGTAAATTTCCAGCCTGGCAGCAATACTTGTAACATTATTCGAGGAATAGCATTTAACATGATCAAACACGCATTCCTTGTCTTCAGAACATATCTGGACTTATTCATTGATTACATATTCTCTCTTTACTGGGAAGCAAAGAGGACACCTTTGCCAAATTTGGAAAAAAAGCATATTGTACTTAAGGAGGATGCTGTGAGCATTGCTGCAAAGATCAGAAATAGACAGTTAAAGTCTGAAGATTTGGTTCAAATGTGCATTGAAAGAATAAAAATTGTAAGTATATTTCTGAACATAGTGGACTTTATCTTTAATTTGAAATGATACCTAATAGCAGCAGACCATACTGGAAGCCCACCATCGTCTCTAACTGCAGAATACTATTTTTTTTATTGCATAGATGGGTGGACGAGCTCACAGCCCACCCGGTGTTGAGTGGTTACCGGAGCCCATAGACATCTACAATGTTAATGCTGCCTCCCACCTTGAGATATGAGTCTCAGTATAGTTACAACAGCTGCCCTACCCTTCAAACCAAAACGTTGCTTTCTGCATTGCGTTGCGTTTCTGCTTCATGGCAGAAATAGGCAGGGTGTTGGTACTTACCCCTGTGGACTCAAGAGGTTCTACTTCCAGTAATTATATGTTCTGGTTTGCTGGATGAGGCATCTGTTACTATTGGAACTAACTTCATGTTATAAAGTGGACGGGATTGGAGAATTCACATGGTAATGACCTCCAAAAACTAATTAATACCATATAAAGAAATAAAAAAATTGCCATCATTGTGTCATTATGTGTAATCTATCTACCTTTTTCTTAAATTTTAGCTAACACAATTATGTTAGGTTGAATGGTGTTGTTAATGTGGTGTGGCATTGCATCTGGCACTAATAAAAAATATTTAGAATCTTAGACTTTTTGTCATGACCATAAGAGAAATAAAAAACCAGAATTGTTTAAATAATTAAAGTTGTTTAAAACAATGGTTTTCACTATTAAAACTTAGTAACTATACAAAATGAAATGTATTTCTTTGTTTAATTTCTAAAATTTTTGGATCTTCAGAGGTTCTTTGGTGATCTCTATTATTGCACTGGATGGTCCATGATGAATGGAAAGAAATGTGTCTCTGGTTCCCATAGTCCACAAAATCCTAATTTAGGAACAGATGACTGTTTGACTGGTCTATAATTGTTAATAATGAACGTCTTGAATGAGTCTTGTAGTTGAGTAAAGTTAATGAGACAGGGTGTTCATTTAAGTGGTTAAAGTGTATTCGAATAATAATGAATACAATTCAATCTGCCCACAATTTACGCTGCCCAAAACTACAAGTGCGTTTTTGTAAAACAAAATTTAATGCAGGTGAAAACACTGGTCACGTCTGGTATTATATAACTCAACAAAAATATGTCATAAGATACTTGTAAATTGGGTATTTGATACTGATTATGCAACTTGAATGTACTTGAGACATGTCATAATGTGTCATAACTGTCCCTAAGTTTTCACTTGTAACTTCCATATTTAGTCAGTACCGTTGTCTTATGTAATGAAACTTGTAATATGTAGGAGTTTATGGTATTGAGGTATAGTTGCTTTTATCTGCTACCAGAAACTATCTTGCTGCCGGCTAGGAAATAAAGAAATATAATCATTTCTGGAATTATACAAGTGCTCATACCTATTTCTAGTGTTGTGTTTGTGTTATTGTGAAGGGTAGAATTATTATATAACTATTATGCAATAATTTATAATGAATATAACATATATACAACTTGTACAACATTAAACAAAAATGAGAATTCAGTTTCAGCAATCATCATCTTTGAACGGTCGAATGACTACTTGAACGGTTGAAGGTCACTTGAATATCTTATATAAGAACGGTCAATTATTATTCGTTCTGTTTCGTCTTTTTGTATGTCTGTCTTTTCAGAAGTCAAAAAATGTACTGCGTCGCTGCTGGTCACGTACGCCCTCGTTCCATTTATTTTCGAATTATTTTCAAATGTCTGTCTTAGTCTGTCTATGTCTAGTCATTATAGGTTTTATGTCCTGTCAAAGAGGTTTCACGCCACGACAATCTTATTTTATTGCTGTGTTGTTAAAATTTTATAATCTGCAGAAACTACATTCTTTTTTCCCGGTATACGCCTTTGAAAACATTATGCTGGTAGATTTTTTATGAGTAAATAAAATAAGGTTTTTATAAAGTATACGTTTTTTAAGTAGGTACATATGACAATTACCTACTTACAATTTTGGCAAATTCGAGTTTAAAAAAAATTCAATTTACCAGAAATATATATTTGTAATTTTCCCACATTTCGTAGATGCCAAAAAATTTGTAAATCACAGTTAATACACATTTCAACCTAAAGAAACACTACAATAAAAAAATAAAAACCAACTAACACACAACTTCGATTCTTGCCTTCCCGCCAAAAGTATACCATAGATATTAATAGATAATACACATCTAAAGGAGTTTCTAATGGCTCTATACGGTACCGTTAATGAATCCGTTCACCGTCCTCGCCGAACCCCCGTCGCTTGCGACGAAAGGCTCGACGAGTAAATTAACCCATAGACACAATCCACTGAGTTGCTCGCCGGATCTTCTCAGTGGGTCGCGTTTCTGATTCCGTGGTAGATTCTACGAAGCACCGCTCTTACTAGGGCCAGTGCTAGCAACACTCCGATTTGAGCCCCGTGATGGGTGATGGTGAAAAAAGCATAGGCACGAAAAAAGAAAAAAAAATGTAATGAAATTGCTTTAATAGCTTTTGATGACATTTGGAGAAAGGTTTTGTGTCATAGTGCCAGAAATGCCATAGACCTATATAGTAGGGACACGACATATTGTTCTATACGTACAATTGCTTATATAAATAGCACCCATTTTGAAGGCACATACATAAACATATATCTATCTCGTTCTTACTCAGCACGTTAACTCGCAGGAAAACAATATAACAGTATTTCAGTGCGTACATAAAATGAAACATGAATATACGTAAATGTCTCCGTCTCCGTNTCATATCATATTTGCACATAACAATATACCTACTTACTTCCCATTAAAGTATAAATTCTACAAATAAATAATACTCAACAATATTTAAAATAAAATGAGCCAAGAACGTTTATCGATAAAACCTGATAACATTGAAATCTTTTGTAACAGCACTAAAGCCGCCATGTTTTGTGGCCAGATGACGTCACAGTGGCACGAAATTCTGGTTGACGTTTCATTTCCATAGGTTTCCTACTTCATTGCGTCACAGTGGCACGAAATTTTGGTTGACGTTTCATTTCCATAGGTTTCCTACTTCATTGAGAAATGCACAACAGATAACGCGCGAGTAGTGTCAGTGTCAACAAACAGTTTCGGTTCATAAACTTAAAGATGACAGGAGCGAAACGTATTCAAATTTCACCAGTTCTGAATAAATGATTATCATCCAACTATTTCACCCTATTATAATTATCCAGTTCGCTAGTCTAGAAAGTAGAAAGTTCCACAAGAACGCTAAAACATTAAGTTGGTTGTTCCTCTGAAAACATATATCATTGCAAAAATTTTTACATAATAGAATATAAAAAAATGCCAATAAAAACTTAGTTTTATCGTCATTATACGCATTTTTTTAGGTTAATTCGGCGTTTTGAAGTTCGTTGAAGTGCTGTTAAAATAATCTGTTATATGTGTATATATGTACATTAGGAGTGGGTAATATCGGTTTTGCCGCGTATCGAATCGTATCTATATATCGAGTATCAATATCGGATATCGAATCTATATATTGATGGATGCTAGTAGATTTTCTCGATTTATGATATTTGAGATTTGAAACGATACGCTGATATAATAACGTAGTAGATATAGATTTAAGTCAACGTTATACGCTTGGTTTTCTGATATCAATTTATAATATGATTTTAAAGTAGTAAAAAGAACATGAAAATAAAAATATCAAAAAAACTTTCCTTCATGCTTTTACCAGGCTTAGGACTGGCTACATTATTTTCAGTTTTCAGTATTTTGTGTCTTAATTTAAAATTACAAAATATACCAAAAGAGTGTAGATTTCAAAAGTTTAATACAAACACAAGAAATAAACTTAATTATTTGGATTCAACTAAAAATAGAAAAATTTGTACTTTAAATAAATAAAAAAAAAAAAAAAAAGAAAAATCAAACAAAATACTTTTAAGTATTTATAAACACTTGTCCAAAAATTCTAGTTCAAGGTCAAAGCGCGTGAAATTAAATTCAACGGTGCAAATAGGCTATACTGCATTCAAATTAGGGTCGAAAGTTGAAACTTCTTTCCTAAATTGTATCCTGCTGATACGCTAAGAATAATTTACAGACATATGGACTTAAATATAAGGTTTACAATTGTATGGATAATGCCTCTTTCTGTTTCATTCATCACATGATATCCCTATCGTGCGCTCACTCACTCTGGCCGATTCGATACGAACCAAACGAATATTGCTGATATTCACGAATCGGTACGTTATGCGGATGCGCATCACATCGAGCAATATCGTGTATCGGCTGATATCGCTATATACATTTCGATTCACGAATCGGTACGATATGCCGATGCGCATCACATCGAGCAATATCGTGTATCGGCTGATATCGATATATAGATTTCGATTCACGAATCGGTACGATATGCCGATGCGCATCACATCGAGCAATATCGTGTATCGGCTGATATCGATATATAGATTTCGTGCGGGGCGATATCGGATTCAACGATATTGCTGCGATATANACATCGAGCAATATCGTGTATCGGCTGATATCGATATATAGATTTCGATTCACGAATCGGTACGATATGCCGATGCGCATCACATCGAGCAATATCGTGTATCGGCTGATATCGATATATAGATTTCGTGCGGGGCGATATCGGATTCAACGATATTGCTGCGATATATAGATATTGAATCTATATACGATTTATATCACCCACTCCTAATATACATTGCCTTCCACAGATAAGTTAACGCCCGAAAAAATATGTAAATATACATGAAATATCGAGAAAATTCCTATAATGAGAGGTCTATTTACTGAATTTAATTATTTTTTTTAGTTTTTTTTTTATTGCCCTTTTAGGCAGACGAGCATACGGCCCACCTGATGGTGAGTGGTTACCGTCGCCCATGGACTTCAGCAATGCCAGGGGCAGAGCCAAGCCGCTGCCTACCGTTTAATACTCTAATTTCTTCCTTAGGTCTATTTTGACAATATATCAAACAAATATCAACTAAAATAGTTGTTTGTTTTAAGTATTTACTGCTCACTGCTTGGAAAGAACAAAACTGTTATTAATTCAGATTGCGCAGACAGCGAAAGTCAATTTATCTCAATTATACTTATCACGCAATCTATACATTTTGCCAAAACAATCGAGCGTAGGAATGTTATGACGTTGAAAATAAATAGTGGATTTGTCTATCAGCTAAAAAAAAACTTATTAGCCAATCGTCCAGTTGGCCGAGTGTCAATAAGTGTCTTATCTATGGCGACAGTGTCAACCCTGGTAAATGGAGGTTAGAGGTAAGGAGGTTCTATAGGAAACAAGTTGAAAAAGTGTTCACCTGTAAATAGCAAATTATTGTTGGAAGACTCACCGAAAAAGCGCTACTGCACGAAGTGGATATTATATGAATATAGCAGTAGAATGGCCTCGAGCAGGGAGAGATGGCGCGACATCGTGAGACGCATCAAGTCTGCCCCTTCCAACACTACATGACGATCACGACCACTCTGTCAAGAGTGACACGGCTGAGAAGAGAAGAAAAGAATAGCAGTTTTAAACAGAAGTGTGCGGATTGAAGCGAAGTGTGGTAGTTTGTTTTTAAAATCTTTCTACTAGCTACTATGGATACCTTAATTAGTTCTCTTTTGGCGGACACTTTTTAATAAACTGACATGGTGCTCCTTACTTCTACCCTCCACACCCTGGCTCCTCGTAATTTTTGCCGCCATTTTGTAAAACCATAATATTTTTTTTTTACCGATTGGCGCGTATATTTTTTTGTATGACTTTCAATGTGTGATTGAGATGAAAAAAAAATCGTGAATCAATTACCACCTGATGCCTCACACTAATGTTTTTATTAGGTCAATCCAATACTGAACGCCGTCACAGATGAGCGTTTTGAAGAGGCTTTAGAAGAAGCGCGCGAAATCGACCGGATGCTTGATGAGGGACTCTCAGAAGAATATCTCAAGAAGAAACCATTCCTTGGTATATATACCTTTAATCTGATATATAAATAAAAACTAAGGGTTGTATGTATGTTTGACGTCTACGCTTCTGACTGTGTAAAATGATTGTCAGCGCTCTGAAGAACGTTTTTGGCATACTAGTACCGTTAGCGTTTGACAGATGGCGCTCGAGTAGTTTCATACATGTAGGGATAGTCCTAGTGCACCAAACGCTTGTCACTAAATGAATCAAAACTAGAATTCTATTGAAACATATATTCAAATCGTTCATCAATCAAATTAAGTAACATCAATATCGTCATGTATCACTTGCTCTTAAAAGCCACAGTCCTGAGAAAAATCGGCAAAAGGAAACCGTGCCAGATACATTTTTTTTTATTTTTTTTCCTTATTTTACGTTCAATTCTTTTCAGAGCCTATAATTACGTTTACAATTTTAAATGAAAAATATAAAGGAAAAAAAAGTGGCTTACAGAATTTGTATACGAAAAGAACTCTCCTCCTGTAACATTAGTCAGTGTCATTAACCACTATAGTAGAATTATTTTGTCCGTGCAGCTTGGGTCATAAAACATAGGACGGCTAGGGCGGTGAGCATGTAGTGCGGTCGCAACGCCATTATCGATAAAAACAAAAGAGTTCGAAGGCAGGTACACGGCGGCGGGGTGGTATACGAAGGGTGGTGAGACATTGTTATGTTATGAGTCATTTGTACTTACCTGCAAATTATAGTACATTATGTCGAAGAGAAATGTGTTTTTATGCATTCGTTCTCTGAATTTCTTTAGTGACACAATGGCCACTCCTTTGTTTTGTATCAAAACGGCAGAATTTATTCAAAATAGTATTTGCACGTGTTGTTATTAACAATGTGTTAAAAAATTTCACTGAAATAGAATAGCTCCCGAAATGTTACAAAGTGTTAATTTCTGCCGTTCTCGTTAACTTGCTGCGGCGATATGTGGTGTAAGGGTTCGATTAGTGATTTTTTCTTTCATTTTTATCACTAACCCACAAAATGACAAAACTAAATACACTATCGATAACGCTTATCGACAACAATAATGCACATCACTATGCCCGTCCATAAGGCTCGTGAGTGGAAGAGAGAGCGAAATACTCTCTTCACCGCTCCGATTTTTTATGACCCAAACTGTACGGACAAAATAATTCTACTATAGTCCCATGAAGAGATTACGTAGCTATTGTGTTAGGAAATACCAGTTCAACCAACTCCGTTGTTGAGCACGTTTTTGATATACCATACACAGTGGTGGATTCACAATAGGAGAAGTCGGGGCAAGTGCCCATTTTTTTTAGTATTATAAAGATTGCTCAACATAATTAATTAATTCTATTAATAAATAATTTTAGGTTTAATTGATAATTCAAAAAATTAAATTCATCCATTATTTATAAATTATAATTTTGGCAATTAATAATCAAAATGATGTAATCAATTTATTTCGTTGGTCATTTAAAATAATAATCCATTTTTCCATTTTCTGAAATTAAAGAAATTTAATTAGTTTTTTTTTATGTAATATAATTATGAGTCACCTTTAGTGCAAAATTAAAAAATTGTTAGAAAAAAAAAACAAATGTTTATTTATGTTTTTGCAATATAAAATTTCTGCAATAAACTACTTATTTTAATTTAGAAAAATAAAATATTTGAACTATAAGTTTAGGTAAAATTCCAGTATTGGGGCGGATTCTTTTCCGGAGCCCAAGAGCGGCATTAAGTTTAAATCCGGCCCTGACCAGGCATCAAGTTGACGATCATTCTCAACTGATGGTGACCTTCCTCAGGTGTTCCGTTTACGGCGAAAGAGAGTCACGCGGTGAAGGGCCTGCTCCACACGTTGGGCATCAAGGCGCGGGCGCACGTCCGCGCGCACGAGGACGCGGAGTGCGTGCGCCTCATGCGCGCGGCCGGCGCCCTCCCGCTCGCCGTCACCAACGTGCCAGAGATCAACAAATGGTAAGAGATTCCTCGCATATCGGCGTAGAGGTAGAATGTCGTTTGAAATCTATATATTAATACGTGAAACAAAAACTTTGTACCTCTTTTTGCGAAAATTGCGCGAACGGAGGACTATGAAATTTTCCACGCTTATAGAGAAGGAGTGCAAAATGCTTTTTTTTTAAGTATGCATTAATAATACATTAAATCGAAGCACACACTACCATGTATTACACATACATATAAATATCCTCTTTTTTTGTAAAACTTTTGTTAATGTTTAAAATCTGTGGTCAAATTGAGAATAGGTTACTATTGTTTATCTTTAATATTATTTCTCTATAGTGTAGTCTTGGCGAAATCTGTGATTATAGAAGTATAATAGTCTTTGACAATAGAACCGCAATAATGCTCAATCTTATAATTTCAATTCATTACAGTTGAATTTCGATTACTGCGGGACCACTATTACATTTTAATACATCATAATTTAAAAATGACTACTTATGGTCTAAATGTTCGGAGTCCCAAAATAAAAGAAAACTGTACTAGCGTTTTGATTTTGATTTGATATGTGATGATGATTCATCCGACCGATTTCGGCCATGGCGACCACTTTGACTCCTATCCGTCGTTTTGGCGCTCGTGCGCTCGAAGATGGCTTATATAGCCTATCTTTGCGGCAAAACTCCTTGCGTATTGAGGACACGTAAGCACGCCGTTCTCATAATTATAGGTTATGGTAGCAGGTGGGCGGGCCTTCAACTGGTCGCGTTTGTAATCAAGGTCAGCTTTACGCTGATCCTCGAACTCGCGTACTTTGCTGTTCACCATCCTGCGCCATTCTGGCCGCTGTGCTGCCAAGCGCTCCCATTGAGAGGGCTCTATATCACATCTCTTCATGTGTCGTTTAACGACATCCTTGTACCGCAGGAGCTGTCCGCCATGCTGTCGCTTGCCATCCTGCAATTCAGAGAAGAAGATGCGCTTCGCCACTCTTTCCTCTGTCATGCGTGATACATGACCGCACCATCGAAGCTGCCGACGCATTAAATAGGTCTCAATGCCACCAACATTGGCACGTCGCAAGACTTCGGTATTTCGCACTTTATCAGACCATCTGATTTTCATGATGACACGAAGGCATTTAAGGTGGAAGCGATCCAGAGTGCGAATGTGGTGGCGGTACACACACCACGACTCGGAGGAGTATAGGAGGCTTGGCAACACAATTGCCATGTAAACTGAGATTTTAGTGGCCAAATTAAGGTCGTGTGAGCAGAAGACCTTGGAATATAGCTTTCCAAATGCTGCAGCAGCGGCACCGACCCTGCTATTGATCTCATCATCAAGGTCACACTTGGATGTTAAAGTGTTCCCCAGATAGCGAAATTTATCCACCTGCTTCAACATATCCTCACCAAGCTTTATGGTTAGTGTCTCGTGACCGTGACTGTCCAGGGACATCACCTCCGTCTTATTGACACTAATCTCCAGGCCGAATTTACGGCAGGCTTGGTGAAAAACGGACATCAGCTGTTGCAGGCCGTCTGGGGATTCTGCTAAGAAGCACAAGTCATCAGCATAAATGATCTCAGTGATCAATGCATACGACACTTTGGTGCGAGCCTTAAGTCTAGCCAAATTGAAAAGGCTGCCGTCCGTGCGGAAGCGGATGCGGACTCCTTGGGAAACAGTTTGTAGAACCTCTCTAACTACGACCGCAAAGTACAAGGCGAACAGAGTAGGCGCTAAGACGCATCCTTGCTTCACCCCACAGGTAACGGGGAAGAAGCCCGTCTGTTCACCATCTACAGTGACGCAGCATTGCATGTCGTCATGCAGGAGTTTAAGAAGCGCCACAAACTTTTCCGTGCATCCGAGTTTCCGTAACTCCAACCATAAGGCTTCGCGAGGCACGCTCTCAAAAGCCTTCTCCAGGTCAACAAAACAGAGGTACAGCTGACGACCCTGTTCTCTGCTCTTTTATGTCTTTTGATATTGATTGAGTGGACAGTTAGGTCAAGTGTGATACAAATGCGAATTATTGATGAGAACGCGCCTACAATCTGAGAAGGAGATGGTGACACTTCTGAAAAGTAACTGGGCTATTAACCCACAAGAACCTCTGACTATTTCATGCAATGTGTTAAAACTTCAGATTTTCCCTTTGTCTTCTGTAGGTGTGAAACTCGCAACATGGTGTTTGGTCAGACCAACAACCCGTATCACGCCGGGCGCACCACGGGCGGGTCCAGCGGGGGGGAGGCCGCGCTGATGGCCGCCATGGCGACACCCATATCGTTATGTATGTATTGTACACTTGTTTCGATTTTCTTGAAACATTTGCAGAACATTTTTATAGATTTTAGGACAAAAATTGTTTTTTTTTATTGTCTTGATGTGTGGACGAGCTCACAGTCCACCTGGTGTTAAGTGGTTACTGGAACCCATAGAAATCTACAACGTAAATGCGCCACACACCTTGAGATATAAGTTCTAAGGTCTCAGTATAGTTACAACGGCTACCCACCCTTCAAACCGAAACGCATTACTGCTTCACGGCAGAAATAGGCGGGACGGTGGTACCTACCCGTGCGGACTCACAAGAGGTCCTACCACCAGTAAAAATATTAATACCAGTAATAAATGTAGAATATTAATACCCTCAATCCTATTAGAGGTTTTTAACAAATCTCTAACTTCACCAGAAAGTAAAATAACTAAAAGGACGTTGAAAATAATAGTTGGAATCCACTATATCCGATTTATCGTGTAATAAAATTATTTGATTACTAATTTGAGATCTTCGATTTTCTTCTACACGTTTTTTTTTGTTTCGTTTTGTTTGTCGTTTGCTACCTTGATGACATGATTGTATCTTTCGATGAAACGATCTACTTCATAGTCAACATGTCGTAATTATTAAATCAGGTTCGGACATCGGCGGGTCCACGCGGATGCCGGCGTTCTACTGCGGCTTGTTCGGCATCAACCCCACCGCCGGATATACCAGTCTTAAAGGTACATTTTCTATTATTTTAACCGGGTGCCGCAATCAATCAGTAGACCAGCAGTTGTACAGACCCCAAGTCACTATTGTGACCCGCTCGCTGTCATCCGTGACTGATGTAGTCCTCCCGGTCGCAGGCTCGGCACTGCGCTCCGGTAAAGATGACACCATGGCGTCGATAGGGTTCGTTAGCAGACACAGCTGCGACCTCGCCGCGCTTACCAAAGTCATCCTGGCCGACAAGGCTGCTGAGCTGGACTTGGACAGGCCCGTGGACCTCAAGGTACTTATTTGACTTTTTTTATTTAAACTCACTGTTCACAGCAAGAATGAATAGAAAGGTACATATTATTCCACTATCATGATATTAAACCTGCTGCCCGCCGAGTCATTGAAATTCGACCTTAATCACTGATACCTCATGACTTAGATAAATTTTATGTAGCAGAATTACCTTTTATTTTATTAAATTAAAAAACAAACTCGTCAATATAGTTAGTAAAAAGAAAGGAAAATCGTTTGGCAATGTGAAGTGGGGACGGCGTCCTGACTGTGTCGACCGCCCGTTGTAATATACAGCTGATTCATTGTTGACCAGACGATCAAGTATTATTACCTGGACACGGCCCAGGACCTGCGCGTCAGCCCCATCCAGCCGGAGCTCCGGGAGGCCATGGACAAGTAAGTTTTTTTAAAGGAATTATATGACCTGGTAACTTAGACCTTTAAGTCATGCCTTATTTTAATTTATATTCTTTTATGAAAAATGATGAAATGAAATGAAGATGATTAATTTGAGACATTAGTCAACTGGGATGAAATTAAATGAAATGAGATGAAATGATATGGGATGAAATATAATCTCAGTAAAATGGTGGTCATTTACTGAGATTTTTTCAGTGGACTTTTTGGAGGATCCCGAGAAGTTACGTGCAGCGGCTTTGTTTCATTTCCCCACATTTGTGCACTTTCACAGATATTAAACAGTTAATAAACCACTGTTATTACACATTTAAACCTGAAGAAACACTAAATAGGCAAAATAAAACGAATCACACAACTTCACTCCTCTCGTTCCCGCCAAAAAGTTGGACAAATAAGTAATTTGGGGGCGGAGGGGGGTGGTCTCTCTGCAATCCTGCATGCACTTATGAAATAATATTGCTTCTTCATCGTGAACACGTCAAGTAGGTATTCAGTCATTGTGTCCTGTCTGTTGAGTTTGAACGCTGGTCTATTCCCCTTGTTCGATATGAGTAGAGAGAGCAAAGTCGTATGGCCTAATGGACAAAACGCCCGGTGCGTTCGTATCGAGCGACGCGACGGTGCTGGGGTTCGAATCCCGCAGGCGGGTACCAATTTTTCTTATGAAATACGCACTTAACAAATATTCATGAATGACTTCCACTTGAAGGGTAGGGCAACCGTTGTACTATCAAAGAAATAATGTCTCAAAGTGGGTTGTGGTATTTACGTTATTGTCGGGGTATGGTATTGGAGCTAAGGATGACTAGAAGTACGATAAAATCAACAGCATGCATTGCTGAGGTCATCCGCAGTATCCATCAGGGTCTGCTGTGGCAAGACTGTACGGTTGGCAGGATATAAAATCGGATTCTTGAGAAGAACCTCACTGAGCTGATCGTGAATGTCTCTATGGACTTATTTTTTCGTTTCATCGAGTTTGAAATCACAACGATTCTAAAGAAGTTTCACTTCAAAATCTCTCTGCAATAGCAGGGCGACCGCATAGAATTACACTGGGTGTCTTTATCTTTGGACCCCGACTCCCAAAACCAAGAAGCCGTAAACGACGCTGATAAATGATGGTTCCAGAGTCATAAGTCAACTAAGCGAGGAGGGGTCGAGCGCCCGGCGCTACCAGCACGCCGGCCTCGACCACATGTACGCGCTGTGGCGGCACGCCATGACCAGGGAGGCCGACGTGTTCGGGCGCCTCCTCACCAACAACCAAGGAGAGGCCAGCGCGGTCCTCGAGCTGCTCAGGAAGGTAAGCCATTGTAGCATACCGCGGAGAGAAGTAGCGCAGGGTCTGCCTTGTAAGTCGTCGTGGCCTAAAGGATAAGACGTCCGGTGCATTCGTGGTGATTGATACACCAGTGTTCGTATCCCGCAGGCGGGTACCAATTTTTCTAATGAAATACGTACTTAACAAATGTTCACGATTGACTTCCACGTTGAAGGAATAACGTCGTGTAATAAAAATCAAATCCGCAAATTTTAATTTGCGTAATTACTGGTGGTAGGACGTCTTGTGAGTCCGCGCGGGTAGGTACCACCGCCTTGCCTATTTCTGCCGTGAAGCAGTAATGCGTTTCGGTTTGAAGGGCGAGACAGCCGTTGTAACTATACTGAGACCTTAGAACTTATATCTCAAGGTGGGTGACGCATTTACGGTGTAGATGTCTATGGGCTCCAGTAACCAGTGATGTTGTCAGCTGACAGGACAGAGCGACTACACGTGGGCGGCCGTACTGAAGCTGCTGGACGACCAGGTGCTGCCCCGGGTCAACGCCGACTGGGCTGACCGCCTCACCGCAGCACTCAGGGAGGATCTCTTGGTGTGTTCACTCAATAATTATTCTCCTCCTTCGTGCGTCGTATTCCTCAGTGCTGAGGGTCGTGACCTTTACGGAGCATTTTTGTTAGGACTATGCTCCTCCATTCACACCTGTCCTCCGCGCAGTAGATGGCGACTTTTATGCTAGATTCCAAAGTCGTCTTAATCTTTTCGGACCATTAAAACATATCTATACTTTTTATGTTTTATATTAAAACATATAAAATATAATTAAACAGCTTATTGTTTTGCCGCCACCATCCGCAAGCGCGCAGGTTGCACTCGAGCACAGACTAAATATCTTTTTAGATTTGACACTTTATAATCTATGTCAACTGAAAACTTTTGGGCGGGAACGCGAGAAGCGAAGTTGTATAAATTGTTATATTTTGTTAATTTAATGTAAATGTTTAATAATGGTGGTTTATTGACTGTTTAATATCTGAGAAAGTGAATAAATGTGGGAGAATTTAATAAAGCCACTAGTCGAAGCTTCTCCGGTTCTGCCAAAAAGGCTCCGTAAATAACCACGATTTTATACATTAATCTCATCTGATCTCGTACTTAATTTTATTCCAATCGAATAAAGTCTAAAATTAAACAAATACACCTCATTTCGCCTCGTGAATATCATTTTTCATATATAACAATAAAAGAAGAAATAAGACTTGACTTAAAGGTCTCGGTTCCAGACAATATAATCTTCCAAATGAAAATAATTTCCTTTGAATGAAAATTCTTCCTTTTCAACATCTCAGTGGTGTAGACCGGAGCGGGACGCGTGTGCTGCGGTCAACTTCACCAACACCATAACTAGTAAAAAAAGAGATATGATAAATTTGCGAAAGAGGTTTTTTATGTACACAATATACTTCCTTGTTATATTTTATTGTATTATTACTGGTGGCAGGACGTCTTGTGAATCCGCACGGGTGAGTACCACCACCCCACCTGTTTCCGCTGTGAAGCACTAATGCCTTTCGGTTTGAAGGGTAAGGCAGCCGTTGTAACTATACTGAGAATTTCAACCTCATATCTCAAAGTGGGTGGCGGCATTTACGTTGTAGATGTCTATGGGCTCCAGTAACCACTCAACACCAGGTGGGCTGTGAACACGTCCACCCATCTAAGCAATAAATAAAAACCACTTCTATAACAAACAGCACTTTATATATTACAGAAGACTCTCGGTACGGATGGTGTGCTACTGTCCGCGAGCGCCCCGCAGCCGGCTCCCTACCACGCCGCGCCGCTGCTGCGACCCTTCAACTTCGCCTACTGGGGGATCTTCAATGTACTCAGGTTCCCCGCTGTGCAGGTCAATCATTCATTATTTCATTATCTTAATTGCTGATACCAATGAACGAAGCTCATGACCCATCTGTAGATAATGAGCCTATCCACAACGTAAATGCGCCATCCACCTTGAGATACGAGTTCTAAGGTCTCAGTATAGTTACAACGGCTACCCCACCCTTCATCACGGTAGAAATAGGCAGGGCATTCCTTTTTTTTATTGCCAGTGTAGGCAGATCAGTAAAAACGGCCCACCTGGTGGTGAGTGGTCATCGTCGCCCATGGACGTCAGTAATGCCAAGGGCAGAGCCAAACCGCTACCTACCGTTGAGTATTCTCCACAAGCCTCGTTTGAAGATGGACATGTCATAGCGCTCGGGGTGCTTAGGCTCCAAGCTCATTTTTAAGATGCATGGCGGTGTTCATATTGTGTTATCTGTGAGCTCCCGTAACCAGTAGGCTCGTATATCATCTAATCTCTATTCCATTTACGAAGTCCTATTTGACAGATGTCAATAATCAAGTACTAGTAACGTACCGTTTTAATCGATACTCGACGATATCGATCATCGATTACTATAACGAACAAATTAAAATCGCATTGGCAGAAAAAGGATCAGCATCAAATTAAAATTTATAAAACTTTGTTTTTAACCGTCTTCAAAAAGGAGGAGGTTCTCAATTCGACTATATGTTTTTTTTTATGTTTGTTACCTCATAACTTTTGACTGGGTGAATCGATTTTGATGATTCTCTTTTTATTAGAAAGCTGACGCTTCCAGTGTGATCCCATTTTTTCCCAATTTAGTACAATTCTGCTGATAATGGTATCCATGAGAAAACTTTGTTTTTGACTTTGTTTTGGAATATCTCTTTTTTTCTATTTGAAGTCCGGTTTTGTTAAAGCTTGTCTATTTACAATTATTTAAATTTTATTACACAATATTACATGATATTTTTATCAAGACGAAACTTATTCATCATCACTAGCCGAAATCGATATTTCACTATCGGAATAGGGCAAAAAATAAAAGTCGTGGAATTATCACTTTCAGGTACCGTTAGGGCTGAACAGTGAGGGCATTCCCCTCGGCATCCAGGTGGTGGCGGCGCCCGCGCAGGAGGCGCTCTGCCTCGCCGTGGCGGAGCACCTGGCCAGGACCTTCGGGGGCTACGTGCCTCCGTGCAAGATTATAGATACATAGCTTGACTGTTTTATGCCAATACTAGCCGTACTCGCCCGCTTCGCTAGGCATTTAAAATTAACATTATTATTTTTTGTCATTATTATTAGGGAGTCCGACACTCGTATAACAAATATTAGCCTATCCATTAAGTACATGTATTTTCTACATGGATACCAAGTTTCAAGTCAATCGGATGCACGGTTCAGTAGTTATAACGGAACATCCGTAAAAACCACTGTAGATTTATATATTAGTACAGATATAAACCTGTATTATTGAGAATAACTGTGTCGGTTGTAGTTGGGTCTTGTGTTTATTACTGCTAGTAAAAGAACCTATACACGCTTGATGCAGAAAACTGTCCCGGGAATCGATCCAATATATCGACTTGAGAATTTCGTGTATACAAGACTAAGTACATTTTTTGCTTTTGAGTAAACAAATATGAGTTTGTAACACTCGCATTTAAATATTTATACAAATCGCTGTTACTGCGAATTTTAAGATGGCCCAGTGCAAACATGAGTCGTTGAATTAAAAAATTTGTTAAAAAATGGTTGCAAGTGTAATTGATAAATGTTTAATATGTACAACTTGTAATTATAGTGAAGAGTTTTACAAACTTTTCAATAAAAAAAACCGCTATTGAGGTCTTCCATCGGCGTTTGTGAGTATATTCTGTGATTGTTGAAGAGGTTCTATAATTTAAGACTGTCATTTATTTGGTGAGGGAGATTATAGAAGTGTGTTTTTAAATAAATTACTTTTTTATTTTTGTTTAATGTTTGTTGTTATTTCCCTATTACTACGAACTGGACGACCAGCTCCGTCGCTTGGCAATTATTTCGTTTATAGTATTTGATTTTACAAACTTTCATCAACGCAAGTACCTCAGATATTTACTAGATGGCGTTACAATCCTCTGTTACGCATATAATTCAAGTAAACATATTTTTTATTGTCTTAACTGCACGGCCCACCTGACGTTAAGTGGTTACCGGAGCCCATAGACGTCTACAACGTAAATGTCGCCACCCACGCTGAGGTTCTAAGGTCTCACTTTTAAATACGGCTGCGTGGCCCTTCAAACCGAAACGCATTACTGATTCACAGCTGAAACAGGCAGGGTGGTGGTACCTACCCTTACGGACTCTTTTTTTTTTACCTACCTGTGCTGATAGCCTTGAGAGACTATTTCAGCGTAACCTTAACTAGTAGATGAGCTCACAGGGCTCAAACCTGACCACGTTGCTAACGCGAACCCTAGCAAGAGCCGTGCTTCGCAGAATCTACCACCGGATCGGAAACGCGACCCACTTAGACGACTGTAGATACTTACTGATGGACTCTAAGTCCAGGTCGTCATGAAGGTCGACGTTCCTGACGAACCACGGGGCTCCGACGGCTATCCTGCAAAAACGGGATTGAATGACTTGGAATGATTTTAAGTGAGTGCGGGCCGCGTGCGCGAACACTACACTTGCATAGGTGATGACGGGGCGTATGCAAGTTTTGTAGTGTCACCTTATTTCTAAGGGGACATTTTACTTCGCCTGCATATCATCGGGTAAAGAAGTCCTAGTATGAAGGCGGCACAGTCGCGTACCGTCTTTATATGGGGGCAAAATGTAATCCTTCTGGCGAGGGTGACGCCTAAGTATTTGACCTTCGGGGCCCACGGTATGGGTTGGTCGTACATCATGATTGGGCGAATGGCGGAGGCGGAGGTGTTGACGCGCCTAGTCGGGAGTGGACTCACAAGATGTACTACCACCAGTAATTATGCAAATTATAATTTAGCGGGTTTGATTTTTATTACACCATCTTACTCCTTCACCATGGAAGTCAATCGTGAGCATTTGTTAAGTATTTCACTAGAAAAATTTGCACCCGTCTGCGGGATTTGAACACTGGTGCATTGCTAGATACGAATGCACCGGACGTCTTATGGTTAAGTCACGACTTCATTAAATTATATTGGAAATTAAATTAAATTACCCATTCAGTATTAGCTCTAGTAGTGACATTTTTCCAACTGGAAAGGCAAAGATATCATACAACCCCACCTTTTGTATATTCTGTTTTATCAAAAATAATATAGAACGAAATGAAATGAAGTTGATTAATTTGAGACATTAATTGGGATGAAATTTATAACACTTAATAAAACTTAATACTAGTGGAGATATACGAGTATTGATTGCAACAAAATGTCTCAAAGTCCATCTTTTAATATTTCCATTCAAACTCAGCTCAAATTAAGTTAAAAGTGATTTTATGACCTGGTAACTAAGACCTTTAGGTCAAGTCTTATCTTATTTAATTTTTTTTATGAAAAATGATAATATGGAGTGAAATGAAATGAAATGAAGATGATTAATTTGCGACATTAATCAACTGGGATGAAATGAAATGGAATGAGATGAGATGACATGGGATGAAATATAATCTCAGTAGAATGGTGGTTTTTACTGAGTTTATCAGTGGACTTTTTGGAAGATCCCGAGAAGCTACGTACAGTGACTTTGTTTGATTCTCCCACGTTTGTGCACTTTCACAGATACTAAACAAAAATAAACCATTATTACTCATTTAAACCTGAAGAAACATTAAATAGACAAAATAAATCAATTCACACAACATTGCTCCTCGCATTCCCGCCAAAAATTATCACTCACTCACTCATTCATTTATGACACTTGTTTTTTTTTTCTACGAACTAAGTACAATATTTTATTATCTGAAAATATCTTGTGGTTGATACACGACATATTGATACATCGATAGATAAGTTTTAAAAATGTTGAAGTCATGACGAAGTAATGAGGTCATGTTTCGAGTTCAAACTATAAAAAGTTTTTCATAAATGAAATCATAACAAAATCTAGCATTTGAGTCATACACAAAGTATATAAATATACAGACGAAGGTATTTGTTTGTTCGTCATTTGACCACAAACAAAGGTCAAACAAATTTTATTCAAAACATTGGTAAAGATTATTTTTCATAAAAAATGGTTTTCTGTAATCAGCTGGCCAGTTCCCCGATGAGTTTTCAATCAAAGAAAATACAAAAGGACAATGCCTATTCGAGTTGTGCGGATATTAGAATAGGTAAGATTTTTATTAGTTATTTCCTGGCAGATGTTGTGAAGGAAGTTGACATATCTTCGGGAGCGATTTGAAACAATTTTCAGTCCTCGAATCGCACATATGTATTGCGTAGGCTTACGGTACTTGATAGTCATGGGATTTGTGTTAGTATGGGGAAATTATATTAGAAGTGAGATGTACGCAATGTAGTGTACCGCAATACAGTACAGTGTACAGGTGGTAACAGATATTGTGAATGGGAATCTTTTATTTCGCAATAAAAAACACAGCGTCAACCCTTAATTTTGTTTATTTGATTTTTAAAATCATCGATAATAATTTCGGCCCGCGCTCAGGAGCGGCCTGCGCCGGCGACCCGCCCCGGCCCGCGAGTCTGCGCGCTACACGCCGAGCTCGCCATATACTAAACAACACAACGTTATTGTTATGTACGCTAAGGAAAATTGAAATTCTTCAGTAGAGTCGGGCTCCGGTCACCGAGGCCGGGACAGGGGGGAGCGGGTCGCAGGTCACGCGGGCGGCAGGCACGCGAGGCACGCGGCGCGCAGCACGGCCGCCAGCGCGGCGCGGCGCTTG